CTCTTTCGTCACAATAATAACAATAACAATTTTCTTCGAAAAAGAAAAGCGGATTGAATTTGTTGACAAAAAAAGGAAAGGAAAATTTTGGTGAGTGATGAAAAAAATGAGCTTTTATATTTTCTATTTTATCACACAATGTCCTTCCAGAATGTCATTATAACTTTCCTATTTCCTCCTTGTCATTGAAAATCTAAGAATTCTTATTTTTCTTTATTTTGTATTTAAAAGTGTTTGTGCGTTTGGAGTTTGAAGATTGATTCGTCCTCACAAGTCCCATGTAAGATTTTTTCAAAATATCAAATTAAAAAAAAAGATTGTGAAATTGAAGAAAAGTTGAGAAACAATTTTGAAAAAAATTGTAAAAGGAGTTTAAAAAAGTTGGAAAAAAATTTAAAAAAATTGAAAAAATTTGAAAAATTTCAAAAAAAATAAAAAGCTTAAAATAGTTTAAAAACCTTAAAAGTTTTAGAAAATTTTTCACTTTTTTATATGTATAAAAATTTGAAAAAAATTGTACAATTTAAAAAATTAATGTCCATTTAACAGATCGGCTTTAAATTCCAATTCCATTAAACTTCAAACCTTACTCGCATGCTGTGTACACATTCAAAAAAATCAGGAAATATACATGTATATGCGTATCTGTGGTTATAAATCCTTTTTCTTTTCCTTTTCCTTGACAAAACTCTCAATAGTATCCACATGTTTATCCTACAATGAGTGAGTTCTGTTGAATGATGTGTGATGTGATGTTATGTGACAAACATAGATCTTGATAAAAGAAAAGGAAGCAAGCATTATGTAGGAAAAAAAAATTATCGAAATCATTTTGAAGTCGACCATAAATCAGCTTCAATAGAAAGTTTTTAAAGGATTTGAATGAAACTCTTTAAGGAATGATTTGAACAATCTTCTGGCCTTCTTGGTAAATTGAATTGCTGACTGTCGTAATTTTAAATATAAAACCTTGATTTCTATCGCTTAGTTCCCAAAAAAATTGTTAAAAAATTCAAAATAAAATTTGTTCTTGATTTTATGAGTTCTTCAAAATACATTTAAGTATGCTAATTTGCTTCTGAATCCTTCCACGAACTGCTTATTCAATTTTTTTCTTTCAAATTTTTATATGAAATTGCTTCTGGGAAGATCAGACGAATGAAAATAGAAATTTTAGACATCCTGGTAAGTATGTGCACATTAAAGTATGTTTGGGGACTGGTCAACATTCTTCAGTTATCAAATAAATAACGGAAGGGGGTAGCTAGACATGTTGTTTGGCTAGAACAGTAAAATAGAGCTAAAACTTAAATGTGATCTGCATCATCCAGGACATTCAATCGATTGATCCTGGATCATTTGAATTAAAAGGCGACGTCCTAATCAGAATTGCGAAACAGGTCGCCTGTCACAGGTACAGGTAGCAGATCTGTCACAGGAACAGATCTATCAAAGGTCTCTCAAATGCCACAGATTATAACAGATCTGTGCCAGCGAAAGGCAAAAAAATATTGTCGAGAGGTAAGTCACAATTGATTGTCTGTGACAGATTGCAACTCTGGTCCTAATATCTGTTGTACAGCAGTTTTCCCACTTTCTTGAATCAGACCAGTTTGTATAACAGAATCAAAAGTTGGGACGGTTTAAAAAAGCTCCCAAAATCGTTGAAAATGTCCCAAACTCAGCCACATAACAAGATAAAGTATAATGTATCCAACAACATTGAAAAATCACACAATTTCTCCTCAATTTCAAAAATATCTGACAAGCAATCCACAACCAAACATCAGAAAATTCAATCAAACAATTCATCAAAAAGCTTTACATCCAAGACAACATCACAAGGCAAAAGAAATAAACAGCAAATTGAAGATTTTTTTTTTCATCTTCACGCTGCTTCATTTCATTTCAACTTGATAATCTAGCAATAAACAATAGATTGAAAAATAAGGAAACATAGAAAGCAGATTGAATGACTGAGACTACAAATGGAATTTCACTAAAACACATAAAAAATATTCTTTTTTTTTTCTCTCTCTCAATTTTTCTTATTTCCCTTGTTCTAGATTTTATTTTCATCAAATATTTTATCAAACTACTATTCAGTCACATACACAGTGTTTGAGATGCATTGCTTGAGTTATAATATCCTTGAGATAGTTTTGTGAGCTACAGAGTCTCAAAAGTATTGATAGGACGTGGATAGAACTAAGATAAGACTAGGATAGGACTAGGATAAGACTAGGATAGGACTTAGTGTGAGATAATATTATATGTCAGAAATATAGCTAATTTCCTCGAAATAATTCAAGCTCCAGACTGAAGAAAAAAAAATCTTTTCCCACTCCACAAAGCTTCCAAAATCTCTCAAAATCCTGACAAAATCCTCACATCAACACCATATACACAAAATAAAATAAAATCAAACAAGAAGCTACAGAGAAAAATTTGCTGTATCTTCAAATAGTGATGAAATCGATCCATTGCTTATTGAACTCTGCAAAATACAATCCTTACAGTTCCTCAGGCTATTAAACAATAAAAAAGGAAGTGGAAAAGCATTTTTTATATTGACGACATGGAACGTGAAGATGAAAAAGGAATTAATCATTAGATAAGAAGTTTTCACTCAAATGGGGTGAACTGAATTTTTTATGCGATGAAAAGGAACTCTTTTTTGAGAGGAAATGAGGGGAGAGGATTCAGGGGCGTAGCCAGAAATTTTTTAAGGGGGGGGCCCATTTTCGAAAATAAAAAAAACCGTTATTTTGTATCCTTAAATCTATATTCATTCTTCATAAGTTTAAATATTTAATTTATTATTCATACATTAAATTTAATTTTTCGTGCTGAATTTGACATTTCTTTCATCACTTCCTTTACATTAACTGGTTCTTCTCTATAAATACTTAATAAAACAATTATCACATTTTCGTAGGGGGGGCCCGGGCCCCCTATGGCCCTCCCCTGGCTACGCCCCTGAGAGGATTACATGGTGTTTATGATGTTTCATTACGTTTTATAAAAGATTGTAAATTTGAACGATTGTGGTAATTGCATTGAATGAAGAGCAATGGGGAAAGACGATTTAGATAAAATGTTGGGGGGGATAATAGATTGAAAGGGGGTGATTCTATTGAGTTGTTAATGCTCTTGTCTTATCAACGTTTTGGTCTTATGCAGCTTTATTGATGTTTTTGATTGCTGATGATACATTTCAAAGCTTCAGTTAAGATGGGATTTGATAATAAGTTGGCTAATTGTTCTTGTTATCGTTAACATGAATCTGGTGCAGGTTTTATAGCTTTTGTCGCAACATAACCAAGTGTCAGTCGAATATAGCTCATAAAGGTCACCAGTCATGAGTTCAAGTCTTGGACTCATTTGAAAGCATAGTCACGTGCCAATCCGTCATCCGTATTGTATGTCACAAAAAGGATATGCTACAGTTGCCAACTAAATCTTCCAAACCAAAAAAACTTTCACAAAAACATTTATTCACGTGTCAATCTTATATCAGCTCTATGTCACATGTCACATTTACCTAATGCACAGAGTTATTATATTCTTATCACCAACTACCTTAACTATCAATATCAAATTTCAATAGCCTTGAATAGAAAAGTCTCAACGGATCAATTTCATACAGCTCTAACTTATTGCATTGCGTCAATCAATCTAAAAAAAGCTTCTTAAAGGACATTAAGTGAATCCATTCAAGATTCTCATGTTTCTGCTTGAAAAATGGCATTGAGGAGTACAAAATTGAGACGATAAGCGGGCCACAAAAGGAACGAACATTCATTATGCTTGCATCTTTCGTGTCGATGCCTGAAAATGTAAGGAGCAAGGCGCCAATAAATGTTGAACATTCCCACGTTTTTCTTTCCAAGAGAATTACTTGAGGATTATGAAACTTGACATCACCGAAAAGCCGGAAAATTTATCAGACACCATCAATAACTTTTGTTCAAGTAAGTTCTAGCATCCACATTGTCCGCATTGAGGAGAGACGTGGGGAAATCAAAGAAAACTTTTTTTACTTCTACTCCATTGGCCTTTATTCATGCCAATAAAATGAGGAAAATCTTTCCACAATGCTTAACTTTACAATTGAAGACGATAAATCTTAAACTGTTTCCTCATTCTTGTCTTTTGTGCCTTTTTCACCTACTTCCTATGGCATCGTCATCCTTATATCATATAAAGATATCCTATCCTCATTGTAATATATAGTTTTACTCATAATAGTCATATCCATACGTATGGGTGATGTGTGCAACTAACATCTTCCCATATTCATTGCCTTCTTCCTTCATTCTCCATTCACAACCTTCGTCATCTATTTTTCAAAAATTATGAATAAAAGGCAAATAAAAGGTACATTGCGAAAAATTTATACCTATCGATAAATCATAATTCATCTGTTCTTGAAAATTAATTTCCTTCTTTACCTCCATCGAGGCTTAGTCCTGTGCTAATGCTATTGTGTGTGCGAAATGAATTTTATGAACGACAGAAGCACATTATAATAATTTTAAATTCAAACAAAAGAGAAAAATTTACTCGAGGAGAGAATCTTGCTCGTTGTTTTTGAAATTATGAGGCTTGTGGTGATTTTGTGGGGATTATCAAACTGTTTTGTAATTATTTTGCTATCTTTTTTAACGAAATTAACAAATTTCAACAAACTCGACACAAATTTCAACAAACTCGACACAAATTTCAACAAACTCACCACAAATTTCAACAAACTCCACGCAAATTTTAACAAACTCACCACAAATTTTAACAGACTCACCACAAATTTCAACAAACTCACCACAAATTTCAACAAACTCACCAAAAATTTTAACAGACTCACCACAAATTTCAACAAACTCACCACAAATTTCAAGAATCTTACTGCAATATTCAATAAACTCACCACAAAATTCAAAAAACGACAAATTCAACAAACTCACCACAAATTTCAACAAACTTGACACAAATTTTAACAGACTCACCACAAATTTTAAAAAACTCACCACAAATTTCAACAAACTCACCACAAATTTCAACAAACTTGACACAAATTTCCGCAAACTCACCACAAATTTCAACAGACTCACCACAAATTTCAACAAACTCACCACAAATTTCAACAAACTTGACACAAATTTCCACAAACTCACCACAAGTCTCAACAAACTCACCACAAATTTGAACAAAATCAAAACAAATATGAACAAAATCACCACAAATTTGAACAAACTTTCCACAATATTCAATGAACTCACCACAAAATTCAACAAACTCACCACAATATTCAACAACTCAACAAAGACTGACAAGAAAATCTAAAATTTCCACAAAATCGACAAGCGATCACCACAAGGATCAAAAATACATACCAAATGATAAACGAATACAATAATGAAGGAAGAAGAGAACGGAATAAAAAGGTAAAGACGAAAAAAATCGTTCACTTCAAATAACACCTCTATAAATGCCAATTATAAACTTTCTCATTCAATTCTTGAACGTCTTTCTCCATTTTTAATCCCCCCTTTTCAGTGTACGCTTCAACTACGGACAACTTTTTTCTTTCTTGCCTCCTTTCTCAATCTTAAATTGAAGGATTTTTTTACCCTTTTTTTTCGTCTCAAGCTCCCCATTTTTCGATTGTTAAAATTTAATTTTTTGGAAGATGATAGGAATGAATAGCGCTTCTTCTTCTGAATTCACAATGAGATTTCTTATTTCTTTCAACAATAAGCAGATGAAGAATAAAGGAGAATTTTTAATGAACGTGAGATTTTTTGAGTGCAAAAGTAAAGAGAATAAAAATTTCTTCCATTTTCATTTTATCGTCTGATTTGCTATGCAATCGCTGTTATCAATCATTAGTATTTGAATCGGTTTCACGCAGACAAAAAAATCGAAAATACAGAAGAAAAATGATTGGAAGTGAATTTAATGAAGAAAAAAAAATTGGTTAAATGTGATGAAGGAAATTGAATTTGAGTTGGAATTGTTTTAAATTGAGGAATGGATTAGAATCTTTAAATGAATAATTGATGCGTAATGACTAGAATTTATTGAATTAAAAATAATGTACAGAACTGATTTTGATTAAAAGATAATATACAAAGCTTCTTATCAAATGACTAAGACTGCATTGGATTAGTTGAGTATTAGCGCTATTATGTAGTCCTGGCTACGACCTTAAACTGCAATTAGGTTAATAACAGGGATATAATAACACATATTTGGCAAAAGGTGGTGCATGGACAGAAAAAAAATCAGGGTTTTGTCGATGAAGAATGCGATGTTCTTAAGCCAGACTTTCTCTGTTGTAGCTAGATAACATCAAGGTTGCAGAACCTAAACATCAGCATCCTTGCAAAAAACACTTTTTCCAGCATCTACAAAGTATCGATGATTCCAGTCAGAGGCGAAGCCAGAGGAAAACCAAAAACCCCCCTAAATTTGTCCGTCCATACAGAAAGTTTTCACCCCCCTCATTCCCTTAGCCCTCAACCCACCTGAAGTTTTGACCCCCCCCCCCCCCCCCCCCTCCATCAAAAAATCCATCACTACCACACAAAAAACCGCGATTACTTCTCACAACATTAAATTTCAATTCTACTCCGATTTGTTTATTTAGGCTGAGTTAAAAAAAATAATTCAAACATCAAATTTAGAATGATTGAAAAAATGTGGATAGCATCCGAATACAGAATAGATCGGAAATGTTTGAACAAGAAATGAGAAAAAAGAATCAAACGGAAATATTTTCATCCAAAGTAATTAGCGATGATTGATGTGAATTTGATGGATTATAATTACGCTGGAATTCTGTGGTTCGAATGATAATTTTTTGGGGGCATTCGATAGAATTTTCAAGGTTTGTTGAAATCGAATTTTTTTAGTAGCTTCCGAAAAGCACACGGCGTACAAATGGCTGTCAAACTGAATTCCAGGATTTCACGAAAATCAGCGTGTTGCAGCGTTAATGCCGTCTTAAGACTAAGACTAAGATCATGAATGTCAATGTTGGACATCATTTATGAACGCATCCTAATAAAAAAATATATTTTCTTAAAAATCTATTAAGTCCAAAACAAAAAAAGTATTTTGAAGAATTTTTACTGCCCCCCCCCCCCCCCCCTCAGTGGTGTATCCAGCAATTTGAAGAGGGGATATTTATATGATTTTTTTTTTCATTATACTCCTACCAAAATGAAAAAATTTCTGTTAACGTCGGGAGTATTGCAAATCCCCCCAGGTTACGCGCCTGCCCCTAGGGTTTCTGAAGCCGTTAACGAAAAACGGAAAACGGCCGTTAACGGTACAAAAATTGAAAACGGAAAACGACCGTTTTTCATTCCGTTTTTCCGTTTTCTCATAGTTCATACAATGAAATTTTTAAAAAAATTTCTGTTTATTTCCTTTAAAAATTATTCTCAAAAACAGTTAAAAGTTTCTGCAATTGAGATTTATTATTATGGATTGCCTGGAAAATTTGAAAATCTCATTTCAAGTAGTATATATATATAATGTGTGAAGGGCCCTGCCTTTCAGCTGGAGGCACTGCGATTCAAATTAGAACAGAATCTATTGTACCACACCCTTTAGACCTACAGTTTATAGTGGGATCCGAACCACTTGCAAGCTCTGTACATTGCAAAGACACGAGTACGTCATAAGACCTGATGTACCCTGCAATGTACCTAGTCACAATCCGTGTGCGCAAGATGTCGTAAGGAAGTCATCCAGATGCTAGTATATCCTTGTATACCTAGCAAAGGAGGCATATTCTATGCCAAAGACATCAATACTACACCCAACACACGAACCGAGCTTCGTAACTAGAACAGTGAAATGGAAAAAGAGCTTTGAAAATTAGACATGGCCTGGGATTGAACCCAGGACCTTTGGCACGTAAGGCCAACGCTCTACCATTTAGGTCACTGATGCCATTTCACCGCTTTCAAGTAGTATATTAGAATCAGAAATGTAATCATAGTTGCGAGTCCAGAAAATCTTCAAAAACTTTATGATGCTTTGTTGTGTATTAAGCCGACATCTACAGATGTAGAGCGAATATTTTCAATCTGCAATAATTTTTGCACAAAGATTCGTTCAAGGCTGGCTGATGCATCACTAAATGCTCTTGTTTTTCTTAAGTTTTATTATAATAAAATGAATAATGGTTATAATAAATATAAATAGAAATCTACATATTATCTATATGGGCAATTCCACGGATGAGTTGAATTTCGAAAAAAATAAATTTTGGATCCATGCTCTTTAAAAATTTGATTGCTTCAAAAATAAACTTTAATTAAGCTTACAGTTTTTAAAACGAGTTAAAGATCTTCATTGACTATTAAACTTTTAAAAACACGGTTCTAATCAAAGAAATTATTGTTAATTAAAGTAAAAATTGGTTTTTTAAAAATTATTTCCTCACGGATTTGCTTAAGCGTTGGTATATTACATTAATTGCATTAAAATTATTCATTTTTCTGTCTATTGAGTGTTTTTCAAGTCAATTTAAGTATGCAGAATCATCGAAGAGGATAGAAAGAACGGTTGACAATAAAGACAACATTAATAATTGCCCATATAGCACAACAATTCTTTATCTTTTGAGGAATATTTCATTTATATTTGGTTATTTAAAAAACTTAAAACGGTCCGTTAACGGCCGTTATTGAAAATAAAAAACGGAAAACGGCCGTTTTCGAAAATGCCGTTTTTCAGAAACCCTACCTGCCCCCCCTTCACCCTTTTTCTTCGTCCTCATATATATATTTTGCTGCAATATGACACCAAATTATCAAAATTGTTGATCACCAACGAGAAAGTTGTCAAACCATAAATATTTAATGCCTCAAAAATATCAAATAACACACAAATGTCTGTTGCTCGAAAAACAAAACTTCCAAACAACACTGTCACAAACAATTTAATAAATTATGAGCTGGGAAATCATATAACTCGATATAAATCCACAATCTACACTTCAATCACTTTTCCAATAATCATATCATTCCCATGAAAATTTGATAGATGAATTGAATTTGAGAAATTATTTCTAGAACTACTCAAGTCTCAACCATCAGAATGCTTAATGACAGATATCAAAAAAAAAAATAAACTTTTTTGTAGTTGAACAATAAAACTTTTCAGTTTTGTAAAAATAACATTTCACATTCAGCTCCAATTTTTCTCCTTGCAGTTCAAATGAATGCAAATTCGACGTCATGTACAATAATAAACTTCGGAATCCATTAAAATCTCTTATTGCACGTACGAAATATAAAAGTTTTTTTTAGGAAAAATTTCACATTCAAAATTGCGAAAGAAAAAAAAAATTATTTTCAGTTCATATTTACTGCTGTTTGCTGTATCTATTGATTTTATTGTCAAAAATTGAGAAAGGAAATTTTTTTTTGATGAGTATAAATTCAGTTTGAGTTGTGCAATGTGGAAGCAGTTTTAAGGATTTAAGTTTGTGGAACATTTAAGTGTCTTTGACATTGGAATTTTGACTCGACTCGATACAGAAATCTAACAGAATGTTTAAAATATTTCAATATTTCAAAAAGAAATCTAGCATCAAGCCGACGTAACTCTGACATAAAGCTGGATTCGATTTGAGTCTAGCACCATGCCAGAGTCGAACCGGCTCATTGCCTGAATTCTATTCGATTAACCAACTTGTGCTATTTGGGCATACTATTGAGGCAAAGCTACTTTATCAACAAAATGTTGAAATAGAGAACTTCTAAATAGTTTTTCTCGAATAGGAATCAAGCCTCGCAACCCTTTGATAGCCGATCAAGTTTTTAGACCAGTAAGTTATCATTCTTTGTCATAGGCACTGATATATTCACAACTCTCCAGTTTTAGTTTGAGTCAGGAGCAGAGGGTGATTTAATAAAAATAATACGAGCAGAGCTCAAAGTCGAGGCGAGTTGACTCGAGTAGACTCGAACCCTATCGACTTTGAGCTCTGCATACGAGTCGAGCAAAAATAGTCCAAATGTTAAGTTTTTAGCGCATTTTTGAAACTTGTTTCTAAAAGGTAGCTTAATAATACACTTTATTCGACTGTTCGGCTGCTCGGGCGAAGAAAAGCTTTTTAATCAGACATCGTATAGAGCTCGCGTTTGTTTTATTTTCTCCGTTACTATCGAATTATCGGCCCATCGA